GTACGTAGTACGTAGTAGTAGTAGTAGTAGTAGTAGTAGTAGTAGTAGTAGTTAGTAGTTAGTAGTAGTAGTAGTAGTAGTAGAGTAGAGAGAGACGAGAGAGAGACGAGAGACGAGACGAGAGAGAGAGAGAGAGAGAGAGAGAGAGAGAGAGAGAGAGAGAGAGAGAGGCTATCCACCGGCGAATAGCTTAGAATAGCTGAGATACAATAGGGGGAGAAGAGAGAGACAGAGAGAAGAAAGCGAAATACAAAGGCCTTCTTTTAGAGGGTTACATTGTGATAACGCAACCAGAAAAAAGAAGCCCATTCCAAAAGATCTCAAGTTTATTCACCGAGAGCCGCTGCTTTGGTCATGGCGTCTGCGACGTGGTTTCCCTCCCTCCACATGTGCTAGACGACAGTCAAACCCCTGCAAAGGTGGAATATTTCATCAAAGATATGGTTTAGGCAAGGGATTGAAGAGGGATTTTTGGCCCAAGAAATGATATTCTTGGAGTCAACCTCGATTATAAAGGGCGAGTTTATGAAGGGTTGGATAATTCTTATGCCCTCTAGCAGCGCTGTAGCTTCTGCCGCCATTGCGTCCAAATGGCCTACAAACTTGGAGGCCGATGCTACTATGGTACCTGCGTGGTCCCTCGGAACAGCTCCTATTCCTGAGGGACCAGGATTCCCTAACAGGCACCCATCGAAGTTAAGCTTTAGTTGGCCCGGGGCTGGAGGTTGCCAATACGAAGCTCTAGGAGGTTTTCTTGTGGAATGCTGCAGTATGGCATTCCAATTCTGGTAGCAAGCTGTAGTTGGAACTCCTTGAAAGTATTTGTGGTTTGTGGCCAAAAAAACAAGCCGGGACTTGATCTTGGAGAACACCACAGTCGAAGTTGCAAATTCCGCACGAAAAATCCTATTATTGCGTTCTATCCAAAGAGCCCATACAGTTACTGCGACCATTGTTTCCATAACATGATCCCAGCCTTGGGCCACAGGTAGGGTTTGATAGCCCTATGTCAAAAAGCGGCCTCTTTGGGTAAAACCCACAGGATGCTAAAGAGAGATAAGATCTTCCCCCAAACTTCAAATGCAAACAGGGAGAAAAGGAACAAGTGGGCGGTTTGTCTCCTCTTCGTTAAGACACATAGAACATCTGTTTGGAAGGGAGAATCCTCTTTGCTGTAAATGATCTACGGTAAGCGCTTTAGAGTAGAGCGCTACCCACATGAAGCTTTAATCTTGGGGGCGCAAAGGAGTTCCAAGCCTGGGCCACTATTGAAGTGGGATTTAAAGGAAAGGTAGGTGGTTCGGAAATGAACGAGTAGAAGGAAGAGACAGAAACAACTCCTGAGGCAGCGGGTGCCCATATAATTTTCTCCCTTCTCTGATGAAGAAAGTTTGAAGATAGGGTGTTTGCGAGGTCTAAGAATGAGGTAATCTCACGATCAGATAGATTTCTCCTAAAAAGAGGGTTCCAAGAGCTTGAAAGACCCTCGAAATTCATCTCTTCTGCTACAGAGGCCTTTTGGTGGCGCACCAAGAAGAAGAGTTCCAGGTATTGGTCTAGAGAGTCTGCTGACCTATCCATAGATCCAACCAAAAACGGATCTTATTTCCCTCTCTGGCTAGGAACCTAATCCCTTTGGAGAACCAGTGAAACGAAGAAGTGATTGTTTTCCAAACCCCGGAAGCCCTGGGGTAGGATCTCAGCTCCGGTAGCCATGGTGTAGCAGGGATACGGTATTTAAACCTCAATATGTCAACCCACAGCTGTCCCCTAAGGGTTAAAAGTCACCACCACCATTTGCCAAGGAGTGCGACATTCTGGTGTCTGATATTTCTTATCCCCAAACCACCTAGTCTTTTCAGTTGACATAGCTTATCCCAGGCCAATAAGTGGAATTTTTGAGTAGTGGCATCCCCAGCCCAAAAGAATCTACGAATGAGCTTCTCGATCCTTTGAGCAACCGCTATTGGCATACGGAATAAGGACATCAGATAGATTGGGATGTTTGCCAGAGTGGCTTTGATAAGAGTAAGCCTGCCTGCTGGTGAAAGGAACCTCCCTTTCCAACTGCTGGTAAGAGTATCAGATATTTTTCAAAGGGAATAGGAAGATAGTTTTATTACAATAATCACAAGTTATGAATGTTTGATCCATATTCCAACTTCGGGTGGAGTGTTGAAGACCGTACATATTCAGAATCATAATTCCGCGTTCATTTATGCATCTTGTAAGCTCGCTAATAGTAGGGCCCACATGTAGATAATATCTTCATCTCATGTAATATAGGGAAAGCTGCCATCGTTCTACATACAAAACCCTAAGAAGGGGAAAAATCAATGGAAAGTTATAAATAAAAACCATTCATGAGTTTTCACTTGTTTCTTCATTTACAGATTTGATTCAGCAATCTTCATATACAAAATTTACATCATCTTCAATAACCAAGGAAATGGCAGAAAGACCGTCATATCATTTAAACCATTAACAACCTAAACATCAGGTTATAATTACATAAACTAACTAAGCCCACCTAAGGAAATAACTTCCAAGTAAACCTTTACTGCTCTATAACCTAACAGCTTACTTAAGTGGGCCGCAAAACGGGCAGCGAGTCAACATGCCCAAAGCCCCAAGAACACCTAAAATTACCTTCAAACCCCCATCAACTAAGAAGAACTAGCAAAGGAAAATTCATATGCATGTATCCAATGTGAACACAAAAAAAAAGACCATCCTTCATGAGAAAAGAGGCCACTTGTTGAGTAATCGGAATCCATTTGCATAACAAATGAAGCATTTGAATGTCCTGCAATTTCACATGGAGGATTTGGTTCCTTGTCTTAAAGGCACTGCAGAATAGTTTTCTATGAGCTCAAAGGTAAAACTCTTACGGTGGGTTCATTTTAAACAGTATTATGGAGAATCCCCAAACAAACAGTCATGAAATTTGAAAGCTAAAGAGAAAAACAGGTCTACAAATAATGGAAAGGAGATCACAAGTTGGGACTTACATGTATCATACAGAAGAAGGAATTTCAGAAGGTAAGAACATAATTCCAATTCAATTTACTTGCTCATTAGTCATTACACATACTCTCACAGTCAGCCAATTTTGACCATAGTTTTTAGGTAAAACAAGAGATTACAAAATCAATCACGAAAGAAGTGCTGCAAATGTAAGCAAATATAAAATGTATATTACCGCCTCCATCCTTCTAATCTCATAGCGTGCATACTGTGCCACCAAATAAACAGCTGTTGCAAGAGACATGATATTTCAGATGCAACATAAAAAATACAAGTAGATATTGTTGATTTATCATATTCCACAAAATTAAAATGAATGTGAGGGTCCAATAACAAGATGTGACCTATGAAGTAATAAATCAAGAGTTTGGTATAGTACCAAGTGAAGGCATGCATGCAAAGAACAGTTGTACCAGATGAAAGTCAAGCCTGCAATAAAAAGCACTTTTTTAAAAAACAATATCAAGGATAAATAACATTGATGTTAAACCAGGAGTTGCAAAAGCAATTTCTCTCAGCCTTTTGACCAACATGCACCAACTATCAAGCAATGTTATCAGATTCGCTTCGAAGGAAAGCACTTTGGTTATATATATATGTATATATATATATATATATATATATATATAAGTAAGTAATATATCGAGTAGTAGGTAGACGTTACGTAACGTAGTTAGTAGGTAGTAACGAACGAAGTAGGAAGTAAGTAGTAACGTTAGTAGTT